ATGTCAACATATTCTGTTACACCAAATAATGATCTTTAAAAAAAGCATCATATGACCCCTTTAAAACGTTTACTGCTATTTAGGAGAACTCTTAGTAGTAAGATAAAATGTTTTGTGAATACGGGCCCTGGTGTTTATCAGACTAGGGTTTGTGAATATTAAACTATCTTGTTCCAAACCTCTATTTCGTGATTTGATTCAGTGTACAGCTCTACTTCTGATTTATTCTCCCAAATTTTGCAGAATTCCATGACATTCTGGGTTACACAGTAAATTCAAATTTTTTCAGAATGGAATTCATAAATCTTTCCACGTTTTCTGCATTGCAGGATTCTACTTTAACAAGCATGTTCATACCTTACACTCCTGAAAGACCCAATCTCTGCACCCTTCAGAATACATACTACAAACTATGAATCTTTCAACAGAATGACAAACAACAAGGCAGATTTTATAAAAGATTCAGCATCAGATCAAAACCTAAGTGAGAAATCTTCCGTGCCTTGAATGGACCTCACAGATCATTGCGTTTACTGTTAGCTACATTTAAGAACGAATATCTGAGCCTGTTTGTTGCAGATTTCTGCATTAACTTTTTTTTTTTTTAACAGAATGAACAGGAAAAGCTTGCAGATTGAAAAGTGGAAATGTTCTTCATCCACTAGCAAGTGTAAAATGTAAGAAATCAATTTAAGGTTGGTTTATGTGGCCGATGACTGACCTCTGCCCAGCACACACAATCCCATAAGGTTGGAGGAATAGTAGGTGGAGTGAAACTTGAGCAGCTCCTCACGGATATCAATGCCCTGTTGAGATGGCCTTGTCTCAAGGGTTAACTTATTGCCTTAACAAAAAGAGACAAATCACAAAAAAATTATTGGAGAACAACCAGCACTGATAAGAACATAAAGGACAGTCAATGGGCACTTGACAGTTTGTGAAGGCAGCTTTAAATTCATAAGAGCTCACATATGGCTACAGACCTGCCAGAATTAAACTGTGAAGAAACATTTGGAAAAAGTGACATTCTGTCACGCAAATAACAGTTGAGAATGTTAACTTTTGCTGCAAAAAAAATTTAACATATACATCTATCGGAATGCATTTTATTTTTTGAATGCACATCTGTTTTTCTCTAAATGGTTCTGGTTAACATGAGGGTAAAGGACAGAACAAATCACTTTTTTTTTTTTTTTTAAGTGCAAGCAAGCCTTACATAACTCAAGGCCGCCACCATCTGGCTATTATGGGCAGAGATAAATCTTCTCAAAGAAGATTAGACTAAATTGATCTAGACATTATCCTCTAGCTTTCTACTGTCCTTCACTGAGAATGAAGTATAGATAACATTTGCGGCACCCCATGATGGGAAAAAGGCATGTTTCAAAAGATCTTAGGTCTACAAACAATGGGCTCAGGGGGAAACTTCGCTCTATATCCCAGCAACCCAATTCTTCCTGGACATGTAACTCCACACCGAAAGGCATCGTGACACCTGAAGGTCTAAACCCTGTTCACCTTTTCATAAGTTCAAACAGTGCACACATCACTCCTCAGCATCTAAAACAGACCAGCATTCCAGATGGCTCTTTAATAATTCACCAATTGCTCTTTTTTTGGATTCATTTACCTGTCCAAAGCCCCTTGTAGATGCTCATGGGATACATCAAAGTAGTAATTGGTGTGCTCTCCACTGGTGAAGGCATTGGAGCTGCCGGCGTGCTCGCTCAAAAACTGGCTGTACTCGTTCTCTTTGGGGTACTTCTCGGTTCCCAGAAACAGCATGTGCTCACAGAAGTGGGCCAGTCCTGAAATGTTCTCAGGATCTGACAAAGAACCTGCAGGATAGTAAGAAGAGAAAAGCAGGAGATTAAGCAGCGCAAGAAAATACTGACAGCTTGCACTCTGACACAAAACGAGTGCTTGACAAACTTGTAAATCGAGCTGACTTCACTGGATGACGACAGGTTCAGGCATATTCAAGATTAGGGTTGGGTATCTTTTTTTTTTTTTCAATACCGGTGCCAATTCGATACTTATTAAAGAATAGAGAAAGAATAGAGAATGCTAGTGTTAGAGGCTCTTTTTTCTTTATAAATAAAACAAGTAGAAGTAGTTAGAATAGAATTAGAATAGAGAGTGCAAATGTTAGGGGATCAAGTTAAAAAAAAAAAAAAAAAAACTCAGCTTCATTCCACCAGGAGGGAACAGTTAATGTAGAAGTCCATGAAAGTTTTATCATAGGTAGAATGCAAAATGTATCAATACAAGCATTTCAGTCAAATTTAAATTTATGCAATATTTCAAACCTTTAACCCAATTGGGAAAACCAACCCATGGCAACAGTTTAAAAGTAGCCCAATTCTGTGGAAAAAACGCGGACTTGGCAACCCTGCATCCAACAAGAGCTACCGGACTCAGCTTTGACTGATCTCAGGTCGGAGAACCGGAGGAAATATTTCAATCGATCGCTCAGGCATGGCACCGAAATGAGGCACCGAAATCTGCGTTCTGATTCGGTTCTAGTACATAACGGTTACATAGGTACCGGTGCCATATTGGTACCGGGTTTCGGTTTCCCAAACCTTTTCAAGATCCTCATGCTTAAATCCTTAGTTACAGAAAGGTCTGCATGAAGGTTTGCTACAGTACTAAAGGCATTAGAAAACTTAAACAACCAGCTCTACCATAATATATGAGTCAGACAGATGGGTCTCCAAGTCTTTGGAGCAAGGGTTCTCAACTCCAGCCCTCAAGGCCCACTTTCCTGCAGAGTTTAGCTCCAACCTTGATCAAATTCACCTGCCTGTAACTTTCTAGTGATCCTGAAGACCATGATTAGGTAGTTCAGGTAT